TTTATTTTTACGTTATCAAATTCACGATTTTGATTGGTCAATCAACAATTGTATGGGTTAAAATTTTGTTACCTGTTTTTATTCCTTCGTTCAAACAAATAATTGTTTTTTATGTGTCAATACTTAGTAAACGTTCTGGTCTTGGGATAATTCTTGTTTTTGTTTATATAATTGACCAACCCCAACGTTATATTCTTGTTAATAAACTTGTTATCATCTAAAAATGGACATTGCATACAATCAGTCTGTTTTTCGTTATCGTGTGTAGCATATATAAAAAGGACATATTTGCTGCTTAAATTATTTATATCAGTTTGCAGTTTTTTTCAATTCAGAAAAAATGAGAAGAGTCGTCATAAAAGAGTTTTGTGAAATCATAGAAGATTCCGTTTCCATGGCCGCTTCTGAAAACAAAATTGTACAACACGATGAATTGCCAACAGTAAAAGACGAGCTTTCAGTGACTCTATATCTGAAAGTTAAAAGTATTAATTCTGATTGGGCCTGCATCTTTCATAAAGGTTAGCTTTTTGTAAGAGTTGGTTCTGGACATCCAGTGAATGTGATTATTTAGTTGACAAACACTGATAAAAAAAAATCAAATTTGACTTTGGTTAAATATTTGTTAAGATGTGCAGTTTTAGTTAATAAAGGATAAACTTTTGGTAAAACTGAACAAGCGTTAAAAAAAAAAATTTTTTTTTTTTACCAGACTAAATTGACACTTTTCAAATTGAATAAAATACACACACCTTTAGGTACTGAAGGTCATATCCGTACTCCTTCACTCTGGTTGTGGCCAAGCAAAACTACACTGCATGCCCGTTTTTCAGGTAACTGGAACTGTAATACCGGAATTGGTGAGACTACTACTCAGCTTTCATTGAATAAATGGCACCATATAAGTTATACCCTTTCTGATTCTGAAAAGAGATTAGACCTCTACATAGATGGTTTATGGGTCGGATACTCTGGCATTGAGGATGTTCAAACACAAAAGGTTTTGTTCAATACTGGACCACTGCATATTGGATCAGCAATTGATCCAGGGATTACTGGCGACATTAGGTATTAATATTACAAAGTCGATTACATATGATTGCAGAAATCACAAAAATGTTAAATGCCCATTTTTATTAAATAGCAATTTTCGGTATTTTAACTGGCGTCTTACTGCTGAAGAGGTGCAGAAAAACTTTTTGGTAGGAGCTTTTAGACTTTTGTATTTGTAGGGTTTTTATTCAGCTGCTCACAATAATCATCCTTATTTTTTAGAAACAAGAAATCTTCAAGTGATTTTTTTTAAAGTAGTTAAGAAGGATATTATATTAATGCATTCTAAATTTTGAAAGATATAATTTAATTAAATATTAGCAATTTGTTTCTAAATTGTATTAATAATAGTAATAGTAAATAATTCAAATACATCATTGCTTTATAATTAATTGAGGTTGGGAATTTTGACAAACCACAATAGAATAGCATGCTCTTCATTAGTTTGTTAAAATATCATAATTCTTTTAGCTGCGTGAAATACTCGATACCTTATCTCGATTATTTTCTCGACGATATATAGGAAATTAATGGATATAAAATGACTTATCCTAAAGAAAATAAAATGCTTTATAGTGAATGTGACTAGGAATTGATATTTGATCCTCAATAGCTTGCATGATCATGATCATGAGTGATTGAGTGTCAAGATAAGTATGAAGTTCATTAGCATTGAGTGTATATACTTGTGAAAATAATTGTTTATCAAATTACTCAAAAAGCATCCTTCCTAATGCAGAAGTAAAAACTCGCAAGAATTATCCTCATTTGACAAAAATTCTTCACGTCAGATTCGCTAAAAAATGACGAAACACTTTCTTGGCAACATTAAAGACATGATTTGAAAAATACACCTGGTTTACTATAATAAATCTCAGATCTTATTACTATGCCTACAATACTATATATGTTAAATTATTCACACGAATATATTATATCTCTTTTATATTTTGTTTGTTTGTTAAATTATTCACTTTAATTGGAAATCTTTCTTGACGAATGGCAACTAGTAACAACACAATAATAATTGATGATGGTGATGATAATTCAGTAATTCGACTGATACTCCTTCTAATTTACATGTAGTTCCAACTTTGGAAACCTCTAACATTTATTAACATTAAATAAAAAGAAAAATTGAAATCAATAGAGAATCTGTAAGGTAAAGGTGAATGTATCTTTTGAACATCCGGATGGGATATTAAATAAAAATAAATAATTCAACTAGTAATTGTATCTCTTATTTATTACATATACATTGTATTCTTCAACCAGATGAGAAGGAAAGGTAAAAATATTTTGTAATTATCCAATATTTGTAATTATATTCAAAAATTTATAGTTAGAAAGCAAAAAAATTATTCAATAAAGAATCACTTAACAATAATAGATAAATAAACAAAATTACTCAAAATTTATTATCTACAATATCTACATATTTTTTGGTTATTTAGTACATTTGAAATATTTGCTGCTATTCACGACTATTCGGAATATTTATGACTGCCTAACAAAATTTCACGACTGAAAACGCAATGTGAGCTTTTTTAGTTATTCGTTCATGTATGCATCAATTTTGAAAAAAACATCTCTATATATTAAATTCATTAATATTAAGATAGAGTTCTTTCGGCATATCCATCTATGACATTTTTTCTATATATTCAAAAAAAATATCGAGAGACGTTTAAATTAGCCAATCGGAATTTAATCCAAATATAAAATGATTTAATTAATCTCTTGGATCATATCTTCTGAATTGTCTTTTTTTTTTTTATTAAAAAAGAAAATTTTGAGAGGTTTATTAAATTAGTTTTCAAAACTAACAAGATAATTAACGATGAGAAGGTTTCTTAAATTCGCTTTTTTTCAAACAAAATAATTGATGATGAGAGGGTTTCTCAAGTTCATTCTTAAACAAAACATCTATTAAAAAAATAATAAAATTTCGTAATTCAAAAACGCTAAAATGATTAATCAATTGTTATTGGTTCATCCGATCGATTGAATATACCATCCAAGTGTAGATTATTGCATCCATTCGAAACTAAACTCTCTTCCCTCCAAAAACTATTGCCATTCATTTTCCTATTTACGTAATAATATTTTATATTAATATTAATATTTCTAGAAAATAAATTTTTACATTCTGGAAAATTTTTATACTCTGGAAAATAAATTTTTATATTCAGGAAAATTTTTATATTCTGGAAAATAAATTTTTATATTCCGGAAAATTTTATACTTTGGAAAATAAAAATTTTTTTTCCGTAATTAAAAATGACTTTTTTCATTTATTGATATGGAAAGAATATTTTTTCATTCATTCATTATTTATTGATTTTTCATTTATTCATTTATTGATCTATTTATTATTTTTCATTTATTGATAAGGAAAGAGTATTTTTATTTATTAATATTAATATTCAGGAAAATAAATTTTTATAAATCAAGAAGTTAACAACCAACAAAAAAGTTCATTATTGAAAGTAAGCATTTTTTTTTTAAACAACGATTATTGAAGGATTTGCAATTTGATTAGTTTGGATTTTTTACCCGAGTTGATGTTTTATTATTATATATTGTAATTCAAACACAAGGCGGATTATTTACCTTGATTTGATGCCAATAAAAACAAAAATGTATTTAATCACATGTAGTTTTTTTGTTCAAATTATCATTTGATACAAAACTTTAAATATAGGAAGCCAGATGTGTCTATGTTTTTGGTTAAGGTTTTTTATTTAGTAAATGTTTCTTACTTTAGTCGAGAGGGTTTAGTCACTTTTTTAAACAACAACATTAAATGGAAATAATTTCTTAGATTCTTTTATGCTCTTTGAGTAACCTGACAAAAAATTTACTCTTATTATTATCTGTTATCTTGGTACTCGATTACTCACAATAATGCGAGCTGTCGAAGACTAAGTAAATTTCTCTATAACGAATTTCCCTTTTGTCGCCCGTCTCCGAACAAAAGCAGAAAAATGCATATAATGGACAGTGGGATCGGTATAGAGAAAGAGAGCTTTGTATTATTACCAATTTTGCCGCTGCGGATTTCTTGTCATAATAATAATAATAATAACGGATTTTTTGGCTGGAACCATGAATCCGCTGTGGTGAAGTTTAACTGTAATCATTTAGCATCTATTAAGTGCATAATAATAAAATTCAACAGGCGCGTGATTATTTTGTAAGTAGAGAACGATCGAATTTACCAGTTAAAAATTCCACGTGACTAAATTAACCGGTTAACCTGTTAACTCTTAACAGTCGGACGACATTTCACAGTGACTGATTTTTAATATATGATCGACATGGCACGTTTTCTGTACAACGGACTTTGG